CCCATAGAAACATTAGTCGATTTGTGTCTGCATCATAAAGTTATTCTCGATTGAAAATGTCAGTTTACGAGCCAAATTCTCGTCATTTGCAGGAGGTTTTAATTTTTTGCTTCAATATGAAGAAATCTGCGGCTGAGGCTCATCGAATGCTCTCAAATACTTATAGTGAGGCCGCTATTAGTGAAAGAATGTGTCGTGAGTGGTTTCAATGCTTCAAGAACGGTGATTTTGACATCCAACATGCTCTGTATTTGGTGGGACCAGCTCGGCGTAGTGTATTATGAACTGTTAAAACCGACTGAAACAATCACAGGCGATCGGTATCGAACGCAATTGATGCGTTTGAGCCAAGCATTGAAAGACAAACGACCGCAATACAACGAGAGACACGATAAAGTGATTTTGCAGCATGACAATACTCAATCCCATGTTGCGAAAGTGGTCAAGACATACTTGGAAACGTTGAAATGGGAAGTCCTACCCCACCCGCCGTATTTTTCAGACGTTGCTCCCTCTGACTATCACTTGTTTCGATCAATGACACATGGCCTGGCTGACCAGCACTTCCAGTCTTATGAAGAAGTAAAAAATTGGATCGATTCGTGAATAGTCTCAAAAGATGACCAGTTTTTTCGACGCGGGATTCGTACGCTACCCGAAAGATGGGAGAAAGTAGTGGCCAGAGATGGACAATACTTTGAATCATAAATGTATAACAGTTTTTTACAATAAAGCCTCGAATTTCGGAAAAAAAACGACGGAAAAAAAGTTGTACACCTAATAATATATGGAAGAATAATATATGGGTAATTGTGCGCATTTCAAAACGCTTACGCACAGTTACCCACCGTGACCTAACTCGATATGAAATACGATTATTTTAACATTTCTTAATCAAACTTAATAAATAACAGCTCAAAAGACGTACATAATAATATACTTTAATAACGTATATAACTTTAATCAAACAAATTAAAAATACCAACTTACCATCTTATTTTCTGACTGCTAAAATACAAACAAGAAAAAATGTGATTTCATTTTTTTTGTATTATATTTCTCTTAACAACATATTTATATCGTATCTTTTGTAGTTATATCTTAAAAGGACGATCTCCTGCGTAAAAATTTCACCACAGTGATGTCTTTATCCATTGGAAAAGTATCAAACCAGGATGCGCAGAATTACCTGCTGCGCACAGTTGTCCCACTTTCCCCTATACTCTTTTCTGATTTGTCTAAATCTATTTACGTATGAAGTAATGTTATATACATAAATCGATTTGATATTGTATTAGGCAGTATATACCTATTTTACAATGTTGTTTATAATAATACACAAGAAGTATTATATTGTAAAGCATTAATTCATCTATTTATTAGATATGGGAAAAAGTTCGTGGCGTTTTTTTAATGCCATCTAACGGGAAAAACGCCACGAACTTTTTCCCACATCTAATATTTCATTACGTTGTATCATTTTAGACAAAAAATTAAAGATTATTACTGTTTAAATAAAAAATTATTTAATCAACAATTTTGATTTTTTTTTACAATTTTTCATTTACTTTGACTAGTATATTATACAGAGTGATCCAGATTAATCGGCACACAGTGGTACCGATCTGAATATAAGAGATCAAAAATGAAATTTTTCAACTTTTTCATTGAAAACTTAATTCTTTTTAAGTAAATTTAATAGTAATTTAACTTTAAAAGAATAATTTAATTTGCATATTATTAGTTTAAAATACTTTGTTCAATGATGTATATTGATTATTTTATCATTAATTTAACCATAGGAAGATAAAGTATTTTCAAATTTTATTGTTAATTATAACTTTATTTTTTTTTTGGGAAAAAAATATTTTTAAAATTTTACACACTAATAGAGATTATTTTACAAGAAATTTAATTTTCAATTCAGAAAAAGATGAAAATTTTTGATCATCTATATTCAGATCGATATCTGTGTGATATGTGCATATGAACGTACTTTATGAAAAATTGAATAAAAAAGTCCTCTACTATTTTGCAATTTTTTTTAGTTACCCAATAAGCGGAATGTCTAAAATGCGGAACGCATGAAACAACTTTAGAATATCTTTAAGAAATCTTTAGATATTTTTAAGATATTTTTAAGATGTTTCATAAAGAACTTTGAAAGATACTTTAATGTTGTTTTATATAATTTTATCCGCTTATTCGGCAATTGTTAGAAATTAACTATTTACGTAGAAATAATTATTTGTCCATCTGGTTTCTTCAAGATATGTTTTGAAGAAGATAATTACTTTTTCTTGTATTAAGATCCCTGCAAAACATTGTACGCTGAATAGGATATTTTGATGATCTAAAAGAAGAAACATAATGGCATGTGTGAATCGAAGTATAATCACATGGGCGCCGACTTTTATGCGGTGTGTGTGATATATTTCATCAGAATTTTTATATGTGAAATTCCGCATATGAACTATTTTTTAAATATAACTTTTTAAAATATAATGTTGATGATAACTGTGCGTTTTTTCTGCCTTGAGAAGATTGAAAACATATTTTCATTCTACAATACAGCAAGTTCAGTTGAATTTAGTGACTGCATTGCATGTGCATTTCGATATTGCTGAGATTTTGGATATTGATGCACTTATGGATAATTTCATTATAAAAAACAATATTTGGAGTTCAACATTTTCTCTAAGTGTTTCAACAAATTAAACAAATATATTTATAAGAATTTATTATTAGAAGAATTTCATTGTTCATTAGTCTGTTACAGTCTTAACAAAAAAGTGTATATTTTGTGTTATAATCTTGATATAAAAGTCTATAAAAAGATCTTGAAAGTAATTGTAAAAATTTTGTTGTGCCCTCCATTCTATCACGTTGTTCAACTCCACAAATTGACAAGTCGGCATCCCCTAATTAAATAGATTAAAAATGTTTTCAATGTTTTCAAATGTTTATCGCTAAATATATCATTATTGATATCATCCCGTTCACCTTCATAAAAGAGTCGTTGGATAAAGTAATTATGTATCCGCTAGTTATTTTAATTGGCTTCACAGATCGTGTAATAATTATCAAAAGAGTCTTCATTAAACCAACTGGAAGCATCGGCCAATCCATTTCGTAAACGGCGTTTCCGATTTCAGTGCTCTATGTATTTAAGAAGTTGATTAAAAAGCAAGTTTGCTAAAATGGCTTTAAGTAAATTAAATATTCCTGAAAAAGATAACGTTTTAAAAGGTTTAAGAATATTTAAATAATCGACCTTCAGTGTCACTTCGTTGCCGAACCAGCAATATAAATAAATCTGTATAAGCATAGAACCAAGATATGACGAGCTATACGCAAACTCGACGCTTAGTAAGTTTGTCGTCAACATTTGATAGATGCAAAGACAGAGCACTGTCGAGCTTATGGTGAATTGCACGAAAATCATTAACGTGAATACCGCATTGATGCGTTCCGCAAATCTGCACCATTACAATTATTTATTCACTATATATGTACATATGTACATATATTTCTTTTTCTTTAAACGCGAATAAATTCTATTTTCACCTATATATGTAGCGATGATGATGTACAATTTCGCGAATTAATTGCCGTTCTCGCATTTTGAAATCTTCTTTCGAAATGCTGCATTTCCAGGCTTCTTGTAACAAATCCGGCAGTATGCGAGCTCGATGGCAGAGTATATCTAACTGGGCGCAAATTTGGATCATAAAACCAGAAATGAGAGTCTCGTGGGCAACACTAGTATTCGCGCAAATCATTATTATGATAGTTTGGTGCAACAAAGTTGCCCAAAAAATCATTGTTGATGAAATATCATAAGGCACCCAGTCATAGAGCGGTAAAGTCCGAGTGTTGACAAAATGTCGAAATTGAGCAATCGAAAAAAAGGCAGCTGACTCATTTAGTATTTCGCAGCATATGGTGATTATCCTGGAAATATATTAGAAAAATATTGGGAAAATATTATGAGTTGTTCATACGTAATTAACCAAACAATTACAACTCTTATAAGATTACTTAGGGCACGATTACGATAATTGTGGCCCCTCAAAATAAAAGTGATTTTTGTAAGCATTTTTAGTAAAGAATACAGGAAGAATAAAACCAAAGTTAGCGCAAGGGTCGGACGTATATATTTCTCATGAAAAAATAAATCGAAAATGTTAACAGCAAAATCAATTTAAAAACGTGAAAATAACCATTTGATGTGAAAATAACCAATCACAGGGCGTGAAATTCGCGCCATCAGGAACGGCACAACTAAGCGATCGGCCGTGCGAACGCTTTGATGGACGCTCAATGGCAAGATACCGAATGAATATTGCAAAGTGAAATTTCTATATTAACTACTGTCGTATTCTTAAATTGAGTCCGATTTAATTGATGAAGTAATGTCAATTACAAATACGATAAATAAATAAATTTATAAATAAAATCAATATTAATTAAATGATCCAAACAACGTTGGGGATATAATTCATGAAAAATGCATTTCTAAATTAAAGAGAAAAAGAAGAAAGATAAAACAAATTAACAATTAAGAGGCTGGGTGGAATAAAGACCTAATTACAGAATCTTGATTTTAATAAAAATTAAAATATGTTACTTTTTTATTATATACAAATGGATACAATATCAAATGAATTTGTGCAATGTTTTTAAGAAGTTATATGTTATACTTTCTTTTCTATATTACGATCAATATTATGTAAAAGAGCTAATCTCCGGAAAAAGCGTCTAAGTAGAATTGTGCCTTTATTTCACCCACCTTCTAAATTATTTATTTTTCTTATTATTTTATTTCAGTGCCAATGTAAAATGTTTCTTTCCGATGTGCACCTTTCCACAAAATGTGCACGCTTTCATTATTAATATCGATCTTCCCTAGGTAAATCAGGGCACCTATTATGGGACAAATCGAAATAGATTCCGATCGGAATTATTCAATTATTCTCTAAAGTTTTATCGTGTTTTCTATGAAAAACGGAATAATAATTCTGATCGGAATTCATTCCGACATACATGTTCCATGATAGATATCCTGGCCGATAAGATAGGACTGTTGCTGTATGAGGCAAGGTTGAGCAAAATCATTGGAGTATTTAAAATAAAAAACACAAAATATTATCAATTTTTGGATTTGAAATACACAATACAAAATACTTCCAAATTTTTTACAAAATATAATTATTATAAATATAATATATTTTCAAAAAAATATTTATAATATATAAATATATTTAAAATTATATTTTTACGAAATATAAATATTTCAATCAAAAATTTTTCAATCTTTTAATTTCAATAATATATTATAATATAATTTTGAGGTTTTTGAGGCTAATTGTTTAAAAATGAGTTAAAAGAAAAGAGCTACGAGCTAGAAATATAACGTATAGAAAAATTGGTAGATGAGATGTCTTAAAAAGATTTCTAAAAAGATGTCTTATTTAATTATTATGAACATACTTTAATAAAACTTTAATAAAACATGCCGGCTAACAGATTTTCAATCACGATCAGATCATTATCAATGTTTACAAAATTTGTTAGAATCACCAGAATCATAAAAATATAACATATGGTCGATTGATGAAAAATAAAAGTATACTTTGCTAATTGTTTAATTTTTATACGTACTTTGCATTGCGATTGAAGTGTCGCTGAATATTCGATTCGTGAGCGTTCCGGGGTACGCAGATATCATCCAACAACATATCAGTAAGATTGATGATTTCATCTCGACGTGCCGCCAGATTTGTCACTTTGCAGCTAACGCCAAGTACTGACAGAAATAGCGAGAATTTCTCGATGAACGTCTTAAGATCTTCGCTTATGAAACAGTCGACTAAACCGCAAAATGTGAATGAATGAAGTAAAAAATTCATGGCAATAGAATAAACAGTATACGCCCAATATTTGATAGATGTTAAGTTAATAGGTCGCCAGTATCCGGCGCATGTCAATAGTGCGAATGACAGCGGAAGAGTGTGCATCGTTCTTAGTTGAAATTTTAAAGATAGGTCTCGAAGATCTTAGGCGACGTCTCGATAAAAAATATTTCTTGCGAGACAACGTTCTGGAGATGCTATATTATATTGCAGGTTTCATTTTCTCTGTGTCTGCGTTTCATATCATATCGCTTTCTTTATTCTCTCTCATTTAGGAATTACTTTGACTTCCGCTGTAGATAATTCATGCATAAATAAGTTTTATTAATTATTTCATGAAACATAACATGCAATTTTACAAAGTCATACTATCCATACGCTATTAGATGCATACTACAGTTATTACGATAAGTTCTGCCTTATTTAAAAATGAACGTTGGTATAAATTTTGCTACGTTCGCTACCTCCGCCATCGTTGCAATCAATACAATATACAAGTCTAGACTCTCAGCGCTATCACACAATACTTCTTTATAATCTGCATAATTTAATTACTTTTCAAACTTCCAGTTCATCATCTCTTTTTTAATAAATTTAAATTTCCAAGAATTAAAAAAATACTTCGAAAATCGCAGTAATGTGACAATCGTCAATTGAATTATGAGTAATTATTATTGCATATAAAGAAAAAAAGCGAAGTCTACAGAACGGCGACCTTTCAGTTATTACAAATAAAGTAAATTACGCTCGATTGTTCATTAATATATAATGAATATTAGCAAGATAAAGTACACAAAGCAAAAGGCTTCTTTGAATTCAATATTCCTATTTCTTTAACTAAAATTTGTTTTATATTTGTTATTGAAACAAATATGCTTGTATATACGAAACATTATTTGTGTGAGTAAAAATTCTGTTCTGTTTCATTCAAAAACCTCTATTTATTCCAACCCAAGTAATAACAACTTTAATTCTCTGTCAAAAATTGTTCCTTCTCAAAAAAAACTATTGTACCAAATTAAAAATTAAAACCCAAATAATGTAGTCTTAATAACCAAGATATATACTAAAACTAAAACTTAAGTACTATCTAATGATACTATCTTTGTTACTTAACTCTAATGATATCTTATTTGTATAAAAGATTTAATATTATAACAACTGGCGCCAAGTTAAATTCCATATTTCATTCATATCATTCATTCAAAAAATTATCTTTTTAAAAAAGATAAAAAAAGGTGCCAAGAATATACATGCTTCTTGAATAGAATGATACGTTACGTATCTTTTTATTATTCTAACTCAAGTATTATAGTAATAGTTTTAATTTTTCAAAAATATTTGTATTGCAGGTTTTCTTATTACAATGCAAGTAATGGAAGCTTTAATTCTCTTGTAACTACTTAACTTTTATGCGCGGACGTAGCTCGTTGGAAATTTCAATTCGGAGCGCAATAAGTGGTTCAGGCTGGAAGGTGAGATGTAATCAAATAAATGCGAAATAATGTATGTATGGATGTAATAAGACAATGTGGTTTATTTGAAAGATATTGTATTGTATATAGTCCAATCAATCTAGCGGACCCCAATTTTTAGAGGATTCGTGATTTTTGAATATGTTGTAGAGTTTGGATCCCTAATAAAAAATCCAAATTTGCGACCTCGAGACAGAAACTAATACGTCTAAAAAAAAAGGTGATAAAAATATGTTTTTTTTTAAATAATTCCTTTCTCATTACTTCTACGGTCAAATTAGATCCTAAAGTTGTAGAGAAGAAAATTTCCTAATTTTTGTCTAAACCATTTTTCTGTACGATAAAAAGTTTACGAGTTATTATAGTACAAAGTTGATAAAAAAACGGTCAAAATACGATTTTTTAAATTATTCTTTTTCCATCACGCCTATGATCAAAACAGGTCTTATTAAAGTTAAAGGAGAAAATTTTCCAAAAAACAAGAAAAAAGAAGAAAATTTTAATTTTTTTTATATTTCATAGATTGTTTTATTATTACAACTGAATATTTATATATTTACTCATCCTTAATATAATTTGCATCTTTTCGATGATCCGGGTCAATAAGTATCTAATTCTTCTGTGTTGTCAACATCAACATCATCAGTATCATTGGATTTCTCCAATATTTCGTACATCGTTATTTGATATTCGGTATTTTTAATATTAGGTGTACAACTTTGCTTCCGCCGTTTTCCTATAGATAGCTTTAGCGTAAGTGGTGGTCGAAATAAATAGATCATAGACGTCATACAATAAATTTGGGCATCTGTCAACCCCATAGAAACATTAGTCGATTTGTGTCTGCATCATAAAGTTATTCTCGATTGAAAATGTCAGTTTTCGAGCCAAATTCTCGTCATTTGCGGGAGGTTTTAATTTTTTGCTTCAATATGAAGAAATCTGCGGCTGAGGCTCATTGAATGCTCTCAAATACTTATGGTGAGGCCGCTATTAGTGAAAGAACGTGTCGTGAGTGGTTTCAACACTTCAAGAACGGTGATTTTGATGTCGAAGACCGGCATAGCGGTGGAAGAGAGAAGGTTTTCGAAGATGCAGAATTGGAGGCATTACTTGAGCAAGACTCGTGTCAAAATCAAGAAGAATTGGCACGATCAGTTGAGAGTGACTCAACAAGCCATTTCAAAACGCCTCAAAGCCATGGGAATTCAGAAGCAAGGAAATTGGGTGCCGTACGAATTGAAGCCGAGAGATGTTGAACGGCGTTTGTTTGCTTGTGACAGTTGCTTGAAAGGCAAAGACGGAAGGGATTTCTGCATCGCATTGTGACTGGGGACGAAAAATGGATTACGATAATCCCAAGCGCAGAAAAATCATGGGGAGTTCCCGGCCATGCTTCTACGTCGACGGCCAAACCGAATATTCACGGCTCCAAGGTCATGCTCTGTGTTTGGTGGGACCAGCTCAGCGTAGTGTATTATGAACTGTTAAAACCGACTGAAACAATCACAGGCAATCGGTATCGAACGCAATTGATGCGTTTGAGCCGAGCATTGAAAGACAAACGGCCGCAATACAACGAGAGACACGATAAAGTGATTTTGCAGCATAACAATGCTCGACCCCATATTGCGAAAGTGGTCAAGACATACTTGGAAATGTTGAAATGGGAAGTCCTACCTCACCCGCCGTATTCTCCAGACGTTGCTCCCTCTGACTCTCACTTGTTTCGATCAATGGCACACGGCCTGGCTGACCAGCACTTCCGGTCTTATGAAGAAGTAAAAAATTGGATCGATTCGTGGATAGTCTCAAAAGATGACCAGTTTTTTCGACGCGGGATTCGTACGCTACCCGAAAGATGGGAGAAAGTAGTGGCCAGCGATGGATAATACTTTGAATCATAAATGTATAACCAGTTTTTTACAATAAAGCCTCGAATTTCGGAAAAAAATCGGCGGAAGCAAAGTTGTACACCTAATATATTCTTCCTCGTTATGTTTCTTCATTCTCGTTAAAAATGGTATGTTGTCGCACGTTTGTTCATTGCAAATGATCATCGAGTATTTTAATCTCATTTTTCTGTAACCGCAAGCCGCATCGCATCTGGTCTTGCCTTTACATGACATTAATTTCAGCAAAGATTGAGGAGCTGGATTCTTTCTAATTGTTATTGATGTAAGTTTATGCTTGTTTCTTTGCCAGCCCTATTCCAGCGGATTATTTTTGAACATTGTGCTTGGACTTAATTCGAAACAAATGATATCGCGCAGCTTCTTTTGTTGGTGATAACGATGCCAGATTATAATTACTTTTTGTGATTTTGCAAAACGGTAGGTAGTGTAGTGAAGTGAAGTTTAATGTGTCATCTTGATTACTTCTGTATAACGCAACTAAAAAGCTTTCTCTAGTCGTTTCAATAATCGCAGAGTTTATATCGGTTTTCTTGAAGAGTTTCTCAGTGCTGTATAAGAACGGATTCTCATCGAGAGTGATGATGAACTTGATTTTTCCAGTGTTGAAAATACAGAAGTGTCGCAGCCACTAAAAGCATGGAGGAACAATATGTTTTTTGCTGATATTTTTCCAAACTTGAAACTATGAGTAGAGTATAGCTTCTCAGTAATTTTTCCTTTTCCTGATTTCCGGAAATATATGTTTGGATGAGAATAGTGCTACCAAAAAATCAAAGTCACCTACGATGATAATAGAATTATATTCTGAGAACATCTCGATGGCTGTGCGAATGACACAAAAGTGTTAGCATTTTCTATAGCTTGCTTTAGAAAATTGGATTCTTCGAATATCTTGAGCATTGAGCTTAAATTCTGTTACTTTCGTTCACCAAAAATTTCTGTTGCGAAACCGTCGCACACAATTGTTTCATTGAAAATTATATCTGCGAAACTTTCTTTTCTTGATCGGCGCAGCCGTTTTGCTCTCTTTATACTTTTCTCCGTAGCATCGACAGGATAATCATCAAAAATAATTACCGCGTTTTCACCGTGATGTCATTTAATGTCGTCGACGTAATTTTTGCAAAATCCGAATGGTGTCCGTAGTATATACGCCTATAGCGTACGTGTACTCTGCCAGGCAAGCACCACTCTGCGTAATACGCAGATCGCGAGATGGATTCGAGTAAGGAGAAAATGCCGTGGAGGTATCCCTATAAAGAGATATCTGTAAATAAAATCCGTCAATTACTCTCAGATCGGAGTGTGCTTATAAAGTCTCTTTTGAAAATGCTTTTTTTTTAATAGAGTTTATTAATATTAGGTACAATTTTGCTTCCGCCATTTTTTTTCCGAAATTCGAGGCTTTATTGTAAAAAACTGCTTATATATTTATGATTCAAAGTAGTGTCCATCGCTGGCCACTACTTTCTCCCATCTTTCGGGTAGCGTACGAATCCCGCGTTGAAAAAACTGGTCATCTTTTGAGACTATCCACGAATCGATCCAATTTTTTATTTCTTCATAAGACCGGAAGTGCTGGTCAGCCAGGCCGTGTGCCATTGATCGAAACAAGTGATAGTCAGAGGGAGCAACGTCTGGAGAATACGGCGGGTGAGGTAGGACTTCCCATTTCAACGTTTCCAAGTATGTCTTGACCACTTTCGCAACATGG